TTACTGATAGTCAAGCATTAGAATGGACTGACTGCCCCCGATAATATCTTGAACCCTTCCGTCAGGTCGAGGCCTTTTGCGGTGAAAAATGCCTGACGAGCGCTTTCACCTGACACTACGACCACAGTGTTCTTGATCGTTGTTAGATGAAATCATCAACTGATTGGATTGATACGTACACGCAGAAGATTGAATTGGAAGGCAGAGGAGTTTGTTGCATGAAAGCCCCAGTTTAAAAAGTCGTAGCGACTTCGAAAGAACGGTATGATAGTAAAGATAGAAAAGCAAGGGAGCGACGGAGGTGCATCGGCCTCCTCAGCCTGGAGCGAGGAAGTGGTAATGACAATGAGCAGGAAAATTACGACACCAAAGGTAAATTGGGTTGCAAATCCCGCGGAGAGAAATGCATTGGCGGCGGCTTGAAGGCCAATGGAGTAGGGCATGGTAGCAGGAGCTCCGAGAGGAGAGGGACGCGCTCCAGCCAAAGAGGGTAAAGGCGGACTCAAGTGGGTACAAGGAATATAGCCATACGACATTCACAGCTTTATACCAGGAGGAAACCATGCCCGCAGCCGCAAAAACCTGAATCTCTAGATTGGCAAATAGACCGGGGAATAAAATCGTATAAGCCAGCTCATAGTCACAAAAGCGGAAGCATAGAAGAGATCGGAGGCCAGGGACCACATCTCTTCAGATCTGACTGGCAGGTGTGGGTGATCCAATTGCGAGGTATGGCCGGGACCGAACTTAGCTATCGCCGTTACGGAGGAATCCGACGATGACCATGAAGCACTTACGATCACACGTTGAAAACTACCGCAACCCACCTCACGCCTTCGATCAATTTACACAATACACAAAACAGAGCATATTCTGTTTCGAGCAAGGCGCTGACCATCGATTTTGTCCGGGATTGCTACTTATTGTTGGTTCGTGGAATCTGGGGTTCTGATGACGACGGATCGGCTGTAACCCATCATCGCCGTCTCTTCTTGAGCGGTATTTGGGATTCGCTTTGTCAAGACCACATGGGCTGTGAATTCACGATGCGGTCGTTCAACGGACGTTTGTCTGAGGGGTTCTGTCAGTTACGTTGGATTCGGCTTCTCGGCCACTGAGCATTCCTCTTTCTCATGCCTCGCTCGCGGTCGTCAAGCTTTGGCAGTATCCTGACAAATGATCCTTCGCTGATTGAACCAGAAGGGTCTTGTCTTATGTAGGGACATCAAGGGCCAAACGGTTCCGAGAAGCCCACGTCAGCCCAATAATTTGGAATGTTTCGACTATATTCAACATAAGTACATACAACTTTTAAGCAAGCACCAGACGACCTTGGGCTCTGTTGATTGGTAAAAACGCATGGTTCAACAAATCTGATGATGCAAGTCAAACATCAGATACCTCAACAATACCACATGTAAAACTTACTTTGGGCGTCTGAGTTGGTAAGGTTCGCGTGTGGCAACTCCATTCAACGGAGAAAACGGAGCTGAACTGCTTCTCAGCATAGAGAAATGGATGACAGCCGATAGTTAAGGGCTTTCAGGGCGCCCTGGTAGTGAGCTAACGCCGCAACGACAACAAAAAAGTGAAAGACTTGATGTGACGCAAAAAAATAATCGAATCGTCCAGGTGCCAGACGCTCTGGAATGCGGTTCGCGCTGTGGGAAGTTTACGTTGTCAAAATTGAGACCTTTCTCGATCAAATGGAAAAGCGGAAATGATGGAGGAAAGGGTGCAATGAGTTTAGAACATACTAGAGCAAGGCGCCAGCAATATAAAGGCCGCCAGATGCAAGAAGCCAGCCGAAACCCATGTCTACCAATAGTTGCGACGATCCATGCGTGAAAATCAGGTGAGTGACTGGGACAACCGCCGACGTTCCCAAGCCTATGAAGACAGCTGTTCGAGCACCTCTGTGAGTCGGCTTGGCATATTCTGGGTGTAGAACTATATAAGCCGCTCCTGGAAAGTAACAATGAGCGGTAACATCAAGGTATACCCCTGCAAACGAATCACGATCGCATCTACTTACCAAAGCCAATGAGTGTAATCGACAGCGTGTACAATAGTTGAAGGTATGACTCGCAATGGAAACCATAGTACAACGAGGGATAAAAAGATCCGACAGTGAGGATAACGATTCCAGAATAATCAAATGCGTGACACGAGGACGAGACCTGCAAACCCTGAGTGAGAAACGCTGAACTTGGGATCGCATGGGTCTGGTGTACCTCTTTGGAATGGCACGTCACTGTGTGGTACAAGGCACTCGCAGACAAACAGAACACTGCGGAGATGAGAAAAACAGAGAAAACAGCTGTATCCAACCAAGTTGTTCCCGGGATATGATGGGTATGAAAGTCTAACAAAAGGTAAATGAACAGCACAGCACCCCAAAGGTGGCTGTGAATATTAACTGCAAATGGCCACTCGATGTTGGTGAAAAAAAAACTTCGAAGTTAAAGGAGGGAGACAAACCGCTCTCGTTGTGTAAATCTGGGGGCGTTTGGTCCTGAGAAACTGATTTCATCACGGTCATCGAATGGGAAAGGACGTACATGCAAAAACAGATCTGAAGCACCCCGACCAAGAATACTGGGCCCTGCCCTGCTTTCAGGAGTGATCATACAGACCAGAAGATAGTTCTTACCGCCTGTATCCGGTCAAGATGTACTCGTTATCTCTTTGCCACGATGGAAGCTCTGTCCAAGTCACTGTGGGTGGCAATGGTCGTGACTTTCTATGAACCGCCTGCTTTGCAGCTAAAACGCGCCGGGAAACCATAATTCGATGTAATGAGTGGGAAATTAAGCCCAGACCAGTAGGTATCTAGAAACGATTGGCAGGTAAGTCAGGTTGACCGTTGTGGTATTCCGATTTCAATTCAAATTGACGAAAAATAACTAAGTTGTATCCCACGTGACTATTAGTGGCGGCTGGTCACTACCATGCTACAGTTGCCCTCGACGGTCATCTCGGATTCTCTTTCTTTCAAAAGCTGCAGAAGCGCTTGTTCCGTATAGGCATTCTTGGTCACGAACGCGTTCCAGTACTTCCTTGCTATCTACTTATACCATCTATCTTCCTGAACACTTTCCGGAGGACTAACTCTCTGTTACGCTTACTATATCTGCCCATTCAGTATGACAAGCAAGCTAAACGTCGAAGGTGTCATGCTTTTTGAGCAGCCATTTGCCCGCGTACGCCAACGCCATGCTTTTCATTTCCGATTGTTTATGACTACCCCTAGGTACCCTACGAGAATTATCGCAAGGTCTTTCGTACATCTCAAAAGAATGTCGAACGAGATCTTGGAGCTGTACAATCCAGCTCATCAGACATTTTGAAACGTGTCGCCAAAGGCACTCTTGGCAAAGAGGAAGCCTTGAATGCTATTGCTGGTATGACGGGGAAGATAGAAAGCCTGAAACGCAAAGTATGTCTATTTCCTGGCACAGACTTTTGAGTTGACTTATTTGAGGGTAGCTCCATGATCTCCATGAAACAGCAGGAAAACCCACCCAGGACGTTTTGCGGGATCGCATACACCACCTCACTCTGATCGAAAACATTGCTGTTATGGGAAATCCAGAATATAACAGATGGGCGGACACGAGACTGGATCGGTGGCTGGTGGACTGGTGTCTGAGGTTAGGAATGGAAAAAACTGCTCGAAAAATCGCAACGGAGAAAAATATCGAGGTAAGTTGTGTACTCATACGACATCCTGCGAAGTCGGACGATCTCAAAGACTTTAATCTAGACTCTCGTCGATATCGACCTATTCACGGACATCCGACGAATAGAGCACGCACTATTGCAGCACAGTTGTACAGAAGCCTTGGCTTGGTGCAACGAGAATAAGGTTGCACTTCGGAAGATCAAGGTGTTCATAACAAATAATTTTCAATCTGCAACAATAATTGAACGTGTATCTAGAGCCCACTCGAATTTGATCTCAGGCTCCAGGAATTCATCGAGCTGTCCAGAGCGGGAAAATCTCAAGAAGCAATTGCCTATGTGAAGAAATATCTTGTTGCCTGGCAAGAAACACATATGCACCAAATTCGCACCGCCTCTGCATTATTAATCTTCCGGCCTAACACAACATGTCCCCCATACAGAGTAAGTTGATAGATTTCCTGTCCTATGACAAAGCAAACGTTGTGGTTTTAATAGCGGCTTTACGATCCCTCGCGCTGGCACAACCTCATTCTCACCTTTCGTACTGCAATATACTCTCTGAATACCCTCCCCTCCGAACCACTTCTTCATCTTGGCTTGTACGCTGGTTTGGCCTCGTTGAAATTGCCTGCCTGTTACGATCCTTCGACAAAGAATGTGGATTGCCCCGTGTGCGATGGCGAGGCTGGGTCTGGAACGCAGGAACTTGGGTTGAGCCAACTTGCACAAGAGGTCCCCTTCAGCCATCACGCCAATTCCACAATTGTGTGTCGCATAAGTGGAAAGATTATGGATGAGGATAATCCACCGATGGCTTTTCCTAATGGGTATGTTTATTCTAAAGAGGTAGGTTATGATCTTCATTCGAGTGAATATTTCATGACGAAGTTTCTTCAGGCGCTCGACGAGATGGCGATAAAGACTGGGGGATTAATTACGTGCCCTCGATCAGGGATGACTTGTGAGATGTCTGCTCTCAGAAAGGTGTTTATATCGTGAGTCCACGACGAACGTTGTGTTGTATCAGTGTATCATTAGTATGTATATATGTATACCAATCTGAATTTTGTCTGTTTTGCAAGTATAATTAAAGCTTAAGCGGTCATGGGTTTCCTTCATGTCCTTCATTGAATACTTAGTTCTTTAGAGTATACTGCTTCATCAAGACATACACAAAACAAGTCTACCCCAAAAAATATTCAAAAAGGTAGGTGGTCTTAAGAAAATGAGAAAATTGGGTAATGATTATCGTTGGGCCGGACCAATCCCTAACAACATGAGGAGACAGCCAATAACAGCGAAAACAAAAGCATTGCCCATTAACCGGATTGAACGATTGACCTCACCATCACCGCTCACATTACATAAGCTTACGAGTGGCGCGCTCTACCACTGAGCTAAACGGGCACATATCTGTTGTTTCAGTTAGTAGATTGCATCCTGAGAAGATTACTGTACATTGAATTGCGCCACCGGGCTTCATACACGTTCCAAAGTGAGAATCGATTTCAGAAGCCAATAAAGCATGGAGGAAGTCATGCATACATCCTGTTTTTATTTGCGCACCTCCTTCGAACATATCCGATCAAAGCTCAAAATTAGAATGGTCATCGGAATGAGTGCATAATTCACGCTTAGTGTGGTGCGCTACTTGTACCATCATGAGTAAGTATATCTCTTTCGTACCGATGTTTTTTATTTTATTTTTTACAGCCAGAACATTTAGGTACTACATCGCCTTGAACAGCAGGTCATACTCCGCTCAAGTCGCTAATGAATTAAATTTAACAGCTTTAGATCACGCCAGTACTAGTAGTCAAATCCAGATGATGCCCGGGGCCCCAATCATCTTTCCTCATGCTGCCTGATGCATCGAATTCAAGATGAGTGTAGGATTGAACGTTTCCATGAGGGGAGTGCAGCGCCAATTTCCAATTTGTGGCAAGCTCGAGGATGTACAAATTTATTGAGTACTACTTACTAAGTATTACAAATGTCAGGCTCAGTGCTCCAAAACGAGCGCAGGGTAATGCGATAACGGGCGTATCAAGACCATTTCAAGTGGGCGGCCTCATGGATCAGTGCCGTCCAACTTGTATTTTAGTCTTTACGACCTCGCGCAGATGGAATCAGTTCCATAAATACGTCAAAATCTGAAGAAATCTGGACAATCTTCACATGTCAAATTAATCTTCACCATAGTCCCTACTTGGAGATATAGCTTTCACGTTTTGCAAGTACCCATCCTATGAGTGCTGAATATTTATCACGAGTACATCACACTGGCATACTAAACACGCTGAATATGAAAAAGTGGCGCAATGTTGCTTTAAGTTTTTGAATTACCTTATTCTTTTACAGCAACATTGTTTCAACAAGGCCGCGTTTCACAAGCCATTTCCGTACGATACCCCCCAGATCGCACCAAAGATTCGCTGCCACTGCTCAGGGCCAGGAATACAGATTCCATTCCTTTTGTGGCCTCCTTCGGCCCATCAGGGGACCCTTCCCGGGGTATCTGAGTCGGATACCATGACAAATGACAATCTAGATGGCCTTTCTCGGGGCCGATGAAACTGGGGAGCGTGTCGATGGGATCAGGTCCCACACGCGGCAGACCACATCATCTTGGCAATATGTCAACACGCAAGGTTACACATGCATTATAAGTTGGCCACGAGCTTGAGAACCCATCATTGCAGGTGGAAAATGTAAGCTGGTCTCACCGTAATAATTTATCTTTCTTTAGAAGGTTGGAGGGTTGCGAGCAA